ATAACATAATGCTAAATTGTTATTTGCTAATATAGTATGCGATCTACCTTGTCCGAACGATTTACGTATACCTACTATATTATACAAAATACTCATTATACTAAATTTGTAAATATTTATTTTACATAGGCGACAAAAAAGGATTATTTTCATTGATAAATTTTAAAATAATTTTGTATTTCTTTTTTTATAAAGTTAAATAAAAATAATAATGTATAATATAATATTATATTACATATATAACATATTAGGTACAAATTAGACCATATACATTATACGACATACCTACCATATTATATTAGAGACGTGTCGGTAGAATCGGTAGATCGCATACTTACCGCATATAAGCACCTATAACGTAATATAATATGTATATTGTATACTCGTATATTATTAAATTTTTCTACTAATTAAATATTTAATCATAGGTAATATATTATTATTATTTTTAGTGACCATATTATGTTAACATGTAATAGTAGTAATACAAATACAAATAGCGAATCAAATTTTAACTGGAGTTCTACAGTGTTTAGGTACGAAAATTTATAATAATACACATAAATATTCCTTTTTAAATAAATAATTGATTTTAATGAGTTTAAAATATGATAATAATAAAATTAATTTAGAAAAAAAATGTTGACCCATCTCTTTAATATAATAATATTGGTATTTTCTTAAATATTTTATAAGAATAAACGTATTATTTAGTGAACAAGAAACAGAAGTTATCGACCAAAAGTTACAATCAGTTCATGAATTATCTACATTGGAAGTGGAAACTTCAAAGTACCTACCTACCTATATAAAATATAGTTAATTAATTTTTTTTTTAATAACACAATATCCTGTATATTTATGTAGATTACCGATTGGTCGTCGAATAGTAAATATAATGTATGTATTTGAACAAATATTAAATAACAAATGTCAAATGCATATTCAAGGGATGGGATGTTCAATTATTGATTCAAAATTTGTAAAAGAAATACGTAAAGGATTTAATTGCTCATGGATATTTCAATGCGAAATGTGTAATATTGAAACAACGATACATTCTGATATGACTGATGATCAAAATACAATTTCAATAAATAAAGCTGTCACTAGTGCATCTTTGGCGGTTGGAATTGGTTATAGTCAAATTCAAGAATTTACAGCATGTATTGATATTCCGTGTATGAGCGAAAAATCTTTCATAAAAAGTTCAAATGATATAGCTAAAATTATAGAAGAAAGTGCATGGGAAGAGATGAGACTAGCTGGTTTACAAGAAAAACAATTAGCATTAGATCGGGGTGATGTTGATACAGACGGAATACCTATGTGTCCTGTAGTGGCAGATGGCCAGTGGGGAAAAAGAAGTTATAAGACAAAATATGATTCATTGTCTGGAGCAGTAATTTTATACACTGAATTTTTATTTGAATAAAATAACAACTATAAACATTTTTTTAGGCAACAATTATTGGTTTTCATACTTCTAAAGTTCTTTTTGTTGGTATAAGGAATAGATATTGTGTAATATGTGAACGAAGTAATAATTTAAAACAGAAACCAAAAGAACATGAATGTTTTATGAATTGGCGAAAATCTTCAACTGGTATGGAAGCAGACGGTATTTCAGAAGGATTTTTGAGAAGTATAGAGTTACATGGTCTCAAATTTAATCGACTAATTGGTAAATAATAATTTAACTTAAGTTGAGTATGTAGATTAAATAATATAATATATATATATATATATATATATAAATATAATATGATTATTAAATATTATATTGCATTCAATATTGTATAGGTGATGGCGATAGCAGCGTGACAAAACGATTGAAAGAAATTATTCCTTATGGTCCTACACGTTTGGTAGAAAAAATAGAGTGTAGAAATCACTTATTGCGTAATTTCAGTACGAAAATTTCTGCCGTCACAAAAAATACCAAGTTTCCCGTTTCACTAAGACAATTCGTTTCATCAAATATAATTAAATTTTCTACTGCTATTAGAAAAGCGATTGAATATCGTAAAAATTGTAACGCACAGGAACATGAAAAATTATCAGGTGATTTAATAAATTATAGTTATATAACGAGTAAAATGAAAATAATTAATTAATATTAAATAAAATACCAAATATATTAATTTTAGGGCTTATCATTGATATTAATAATAGTTTTTATCATATACTTGGACAACATGATCAATGTGAAACGTATTTTTGCAATAATAAATCTCGTGGTGAAAATTTAGTACCAGTTGCTTTAAAATGTGGTTTAATGACAGAACTTAAAAATATTGCACGACGACTAATTGATAATGCAACAAGTTTATTACTTGATGTAACTAATAACATTTGTGAACAATTTAATAGTGTCATCAATAAATTTATTGCTGGCAAACGAATAAATTTTTCACAAAAAAATGGTTACAATACTCGTGTAAGGGCTGCAATAATTTCTTTTAATTCGGGAGGAAATTTTCTTAGACAAATACATAAAAAAATTACAAACAAAAGTCCAGGTATGAATAATATATATACTAATAGATTTTAATTTATAATAATAAATAAGTATTTATTTTATATTGTGCATTAGTTTTATGGAAAAATGAATTAAAATATATTTTATTTTATTATTGTACCCACTAATAATAAATGTTTAAGTTATTATAAATTTATTTGATGATAGGTATAATCGGAAAAAAATTTTTGTCATTTAAAAGTCAAAAAATTACGAATAATCGAAAAAGAAGACAACTTATTCCAAAGAAAAAATCAAAAAAAACTAAGAAAACTGGACCAGACGAATTTTATGGACTCGCTGAACCCTTAAAAGACGACGATGTACTAAGTAATGAAGAATTAGAAATTAAAAAGGAACAATTCATTTCACAATTAAAATTAAATATTGAGGAATATCAGAAGTTAGAAGTAAATACGAGAAATCAAAGGAATTGCCAACAATGGTTTAATGAAAGAAGAAATCGTCTTACCGCGTCCAACTTCGGAAAAGTGTGTAAAATGAGGAGAACTACATCGTGCAAAAATACAGTACATACATTATTATATGGTACACAGTTACAAAATATTAAACAATTGGAGTATGGGAAAAAGTTTGAATCTGAAGCACTAATTCAAGCTTCCAATATATTAAAAAAAAATATAGATTCTTGTGGATTTTTTGTGGATCACGAAATACCATTTCTTGGAGCTTCACCGGGTATAATTTATTGTATTATTAATATATTCAATTAATAATAATTATTAATATTATATTTTTTATAGATGGTGTAATTGAAAATAAAGCTCTTGTAGAAATTAAATGTCCTTATGCTGCTAAAAATACAAGCAATATAAAAGAAGCCATAGACAATAAACAAGTTAGTGGCAATTTACTTATAAATAATGACATGATGCATATTAAAATTTAAAAAAAATGTTTAGGTAAATAATTTTAATAAACTATAATTATTCGTTTATTTTTTTTTTTAGCTTCTTTATGTAGAATTAGTAAATGGAAAAATGTCCCTTAAAAAGAACAGTTATTATTTCTACCAGGTCATGGGACAACTTAGAATTTGTCAAAAAAAAATTTGTTATTTTTTTGTTTATACACCAAATTGGATACAATATGAATGTATACATTACGATGAAAAATTTTGGCAGACAGAAATGGAAAATAAACTAACACTGTAAGATTTTATTTTATATTATGTAATAAAAATATATTATTTTATAATAATCGTAATTTTATAAATTATAATTTATGATCTTTAGGTTTTACAGAGAATGTTTGCTCCCAGAAATCGTAGATCCTCAATTTGGGAAAAGATTGTTAAAAAGTGATATACGTGAACCAACTCACATACAAAAATGTATTGACGACAAAAAAAAATATAATATAATATATGTTATAATACAAAATTAAAAATTATGAATTAAAGTTTACCTACATAACAAAATACGATAATTACTTATCATAAGTAGTTGATTATATAATATATATATACCAATTTAATATATCTAATACAATTATACTCTCACTTTACAAATGCCTAAAAGAAAGGTTTAGAAGTTTAAGTTTTAACCCTTTCTCATTGAACATAATACATTTTAAAATACAGTAATCCATAAAAAAGCCTTAAACACTTAAAAACAACTTGATTTTGTTTTATAAATTAATAATAATTTATTTAGTATAACTAGTATAAGTTATCACTTATCAGTAAATAGGTACTAAGTAAGTACTACAAAACTAATATTTAGATATTTAGTTAATATTAGCTTAGATGTTAGGTTATTGATATAAATTAGGTATTATAAATATCTTATGAAGTAAGTACCTATCTAATAATGTATTAAATACAAATCGCGTACGTACCCGCGGATATTAAAAATATTACAGTTTAGTTTAGGTTACTGTTATGAATTAGATATTATTTACTGTAATAGTGTATTGTATATATTTTTATTGAGTAAGTATTTAAAAATGCAATAAACACAGATCGCGTAAGTATGCGCGAATATTAAAAATATTACGGTGGCAATGCAGCATAATGTACGTGTTACGTGTATGCATTTTATATTTACGCGATCCACCACAGACGAAGGTTGAGAAAATAATAAACGTCGCTCCCGAAAGAGCACAATCGTCGGCCAGCCGCCGACGACGAGTAGTGGGCGCGGCTTAACCGTCGCGTGCTTGCGCATCGCGAAAACACCTAACAGCGCGTTCTCTCGGTCGTTGTATACGTTTCGCTTTCGGTGTGGCGTCCTCTTAAGACGATTTTCCGCATATTACGCTAATTTTTACGAGTCCCTTGATTTTGACAACGTAATAATATGATAGGCATAGGACCTATGGGTATTTACCTGGTAATACCCGTTTTAACGGATTTCCCGTTTAAGATGCTATTTTTAATTGGTCCCCAGGAGAGTTTCTTAAACGAGTTCTACTGTAGGTACATTTATAAGGTTAAGTAAGATACTAAGCAAAAAAACTAAACTATGTATAATATTAAATACAATTTCATCGTACTTTTTTTGCTAGAAATTAATGAATTTGTGGATCTTAGGTCTGATATTTTGCTTAAATCTGCTTTATCTTTTTCATCTATAATATAATACCCACGTGGACATATTTGAGTGCTCGATGATATTCGTGCAATTTGAGCTCTAAGATATTCATTTTCTGAACCATTGAACTTTGGAAAACTGTTTATCTATGTTGAATAAACAATAGAACATAATTAATTAATAAAAATTAAATGTATATAGGTATACCTATGCTGACCGGATTTTTTAATTTCCCGGTGAAATATCGTTTTATTTTTCTTGCTTCAACTATATGATGTGGCTTAACCGATTCTAGTTCAATCCATTCGGTATTTAATTTATTTGTGACAAAGTATACCTATACAGTTTTCACTTACAAAATAAATATTTTTTCATTAAAAATTGTATTAAATAAATTTACATTTTTGTTTGCACCGACTCCGAACATTTCTGGTGGTAACAAGGTTTTTGACGAGGATTTCGGTATTGCTATGTAACTGTCACTATCATTTAAAGTAATCCATGAATCGTAATGATTAATTGAATTTTCAGCCATTTCACCTTCAATATATGATACAGCAGATTCAATATCATTATCTGTATCTAGGGCATTATCTGGATCTATTAATTTGGGTTTTTTTCGATGTGAGTCAGGTGTGACATCATCATCTATATGTTTTGATGATTTTGAGTAATGGCTTTCACTGTTTACTCTCTAAATCCCCATTAACAATAAATTGCACAATTATAATGTATACCAAAGAGGTGAAGCTCAGATTTTTACCATTAGTTTACGCTCTAATTCTGCGTCCGACCATTTGCATTCTATTACATAATACATTTTTCTTATCCCAAATATTTTTCCCCAAAACCTGAAAATAATTTAAATGATATTGTATATTATGTTGTTAATTGTTATGATATTGTTGGTTTAGTTAGGTATGATTGAATAACCGTACCTTATGCTTTTAAATTTATTTAACTGAGCCATTTCATTCATGGTTAGATATATAACTGCAGCTTCATCCATTGGAAGTCCAAAACCAGCTTTATTAAACATATAGTTTACTTCACAAAGATTCTGAACTTGCACAATATTATTCATAGTTTTCTTCTCTTCTTGTTGATCAATTTCTAACTTTCTAATATTATTTTTGTTTTTATTATATTGTTTTTGTTGTTCAACTTGTGTTTTCAATGCACACTAAAACACGAATTTCATAACTGTGTTATGCATAGTACATTAGTACGAATTGATAAATTACCTATGGTATAAACTTTATGCCCAAACGTAGGTCCGATATAGGTCATATATATAATATACTAATATACATATACTTTACACAGAAAATAAGATATTAAATATTAATATACCTACCTATTACTATATTGATAATTGATACACCCCCTAAAATATGAATACTAATTCTACAGTAAATATATTTTATAAAGGTTCTGTTTATATAATGAAAACGTGAACATTATTATGATGTACCTAACATTTAATTGATTCATACTTCTTACCCGTCTTATACCCGTTCTCTCAATTTGAAAATGGTAGTTAATAGATATTATAAGGTTTATAACTAATTTTCCTACTACAGACATTCATATAATATATTATATTAGGGATAATCTCTAATTTTGTGTCAATTATATATCACCAGAGTAGGATTGATCTCACCTAATCGCATACATGTTAATATGTCATATAAACAATTTTTTTAAGAATACTTAAAATTTTAAACATGTATTTTTTGTAAATTATTCCAAAATACAGAAAAGTTATGAAAAGACACCGAACCATGGTGTTAGGAAATTTGCCTATTTACCATGATATGTAATTATGATTGTATTATTGATACGCATGAAAAAAAAAATAAACATAATTATGCTAGAAAAATATACTTATGGTATAGGTGTATCTTCTGAGTAGAGGTTTCTATGATCGTTTGCAAATAGCTCTACATTACCTTATACATTTGTAAACTCTTAAAGCAATAATTCCGGTTTATGTTATCCACAAAGACACGTTCAAAATTAACATCATTATGAATATATGTACGCTTCAGCATCATGCTATATTTTTCAAAGTTTTGTAGTGGATTTTTAGGCCTTTCCAATAATATCTTATCTAAAAGGTCTTGTAAATGATTATACCTAAACATTACATTGTGTATCTGTAAGCTATCTAATTAGCATATACTTTATAATAAAATAATATTAGAATCTACAATACTAATAATGGTTTTAGTATGAAATAGAGCAGCAAAACAGTTATGAAATTGGTAGGGGAGACGTGGGCAAAGTGAATAATGAGAATAATATTTTAAATAACAATGATTACATTGTAACATGTTACATATTATAGTTAAAGTCTTATATCGCACAAATATCAAGCTGATAGTAAATATATTATTCTCATTCAAGTTGTTTTTTAAATTATATACAAAAGTTAGAAAGTATGCATATGAATATCATTAATAGTTTTAAAACTTATTTATTTTGGATTACCTATACTAGTTTTAATTAATTATTGTAATTACGATAAAAATATCGAAAGTATATATTAGATAATATAGTCAGAATATCTTTTTAAAAGTTTTAAGTTAAAATGTATACGAAATTCATCAAAATCAGTAAAATTTTCTAATTTTTTTGTAGTTTAAAATTCATTACATTTTTAATGATCATACCTTAAGGCTTACGTCTGTAATTGTAATACAAGGTTCCATATAATTTTTACTTAGGTACAAGAACTATATAAAGATGAGTGTAATTTTTAATAATATAATGTTAAAATGTTGATGAACTTGGACGTTAATGAGTAAAATCACGATTTTTCATCAAACGATTTTAGTTTTTTAATGCAATTCAATGAATATTATCGGTAGAAACTTGATACATTCGACTATTAGGTACTTAAATTAAAATTTTTTTCAACACCAATTTTTATGAAAAATATAAATAAAATATACTTTTAACCATTAATCCAAATTTTCATAGTATTATAATTTGGTATAATTAATATAATATTTAAATCTATTGTTATAGTCCACTAACCATTTTTATGCGAGTCGTCGATAAAAACTAAGTTTACAACTTATAATTTTAGTAATTGATGTTCTTTAGGTACCTGGTTATTAACGATACCTATGAATAATATTATGTAAATAAACCTTAATTACTTACACATTAACATTTCCATCTTCTTTTTTTAATAGCCCAATTGCATAATTTATGTCAATATCATATTCAAATTCTTTCAATCCTGGTCGGCCACACGTAAATAATGATCTCAATTGGGTTGACCAAGATGATACTTCTGATCTATCACGGTTACTTACTTTTTCGGTTGTTTTTACATTATCTTTAATTTCTTTTGACGATATTTTCTTTGTGTCTGATATCGATTTTACAATTTCCATATTAGACATTTTTAATAAATAGTTTATTGTTCTTATAAATTAAACATAAACATAACTAATGCATATATTACACAGCTTTAATGTGAAGTAAATACAGAAATACTTTAATTTTAACACTATATTATATTCACATGAAAGAATGGTTCGTGAAGCTATTTATATAGTAAGAAACAAACAGTATCTATGTACTGTTACCTTGGATATACCTAACTAGGTACCATTATTTATTTAATTTAGTCAATAATCATCTTAATAAAACTAAAAACTGTATTAAGATAATTAATAAAATAGTTTGGCAAATCGGCATCGATGCACCTAGCTTGTGAGCTAATTCGACTGAGATGGGCATCCCCCTGTTTTGAACGTGATTAAAACTTCTATCAAGGTACACTTTTCTGATATTACCACTAAGAACTATTTTCAAAATTTTACTTTATATCGGTTAAGTAGTTTTTGAGTACAAACTACAAACATATTACGTTTATTTTAGATTCTGAGCGGAGCGAGGAAGCTATAGTGGTTTTACAATGGTGTTTTTTTTATATATATATCCTGTATACCTAACCTGTGTATAAAATAAAATGACATGAAACTTTTGTCATAGAATTAACAGTTATGGAATTTGTAGCCAAGTCGTAATACACTTCCCACGAACTTATTCTCTTACAGTCAAGCCCGAGTTAAGGATCAATTGGGCCGCGGGGCACCATACACTTGGTGGGCCCCCTTTGAACGTAAACTTCAAAATAATTGTATCATTACATATTGACGACTTTATATTATTGTACAGTTTTTTACATAATATGTCATTGTACACTGTTATTTTTTAACAATTATGGATCGATGTTATGGAATTTCGTTAAAACAAAAAAGAAGTGTTTATTTATTTTTAACAGGTAATTTTTTTATAACATTTTAGATTCTGAGCGGAGTGAGGAAGCTACTGGTTTTACAACGGTGTTTATTTTTTTTTTATATATATCCTGTATACAAAATATCTACCAGAATGAGTGCTTCGATTTCAACATATTGTACCTTAGGTATATTTTAGCAAATTAGATCAAGGTGGTACTTTAGAAAGGTCATTTTTCGATTTTCTCAATAGTTATTTAATGCCACAGGAAAAACCACCTACAAATTACGAAAAACCGCTAAAATGAGTTTTTAATTTCTAACGCTTTGTTTATCAGTTATCACGAATAAAAAATAATAATACCTATTATAATATAGATTCAACTTACTTACAGGATATAATAAATAATAACAATTTCCAGACTGACAAACCGTCTCCGTTTAGAATTGTTTTTCTTATACAATGATATTATATTTTTTGAATTCAAATTTAATACAATCCTTTATACATTGGGCCCACTTGTAACCTACTGTACAGCAGAGCGACATCCACTTACCCGCTTTTTATATACCTACCCATTGATTATTTAAAATTATATTTTATTTCTATAACCAATGGCAACGCTATATTAAAACAAAAAAAAATATTTAATTTACGTGAGCCAAACCGAAATTTATTCCTGTGTGAGCCACCCAAATACCCATTAGCAAACTATATGGATTGAGAAACGAAGCTATAAACACTCCCTGCAGAGTCTCAATATGAATACGTGTGCAAAATGTGTCTACTGGTTCAATAGTTTCCGTGATTATTGGATACTTACATACTCACAATAATTTCTATGTACAAAGAAGAAGATAATATAAAGATAAGAAACTTTATTTAAATATAATTTTTAATACATGATATTTTAATTAAAATATATTATGTTCAACGGTTATCAGAACTAATACATTTAAATGTGCTTAATATTCAGAACTGACATTTTTTTTTAACTAATATTATTTGTATCTTCTGTATGTGAACGTACATTTTACTTTTTAGAAACGGATTTTCTTGTGACATTAAAAATATACCGTTGCCCGTCGACCGTTGACTAATTATATTATTATCTATAAAAAAAAATCAACGTAAGACATTTTTTGGAAAATATTATTTCATATAGTAAAATGTTTTTAAAGATTGTAAAATATATCAAAATAATTTTATATAATTTTGTTATACGGAATTCTTTTCGAATTATACAGGGATTCCTTTTGAGTGATATTGGTATTAATGTCCTGAAACACTATAATATTATAGTATACCACTAGTTTGAGAAAAACATATTTTTATCTTTAAAGCACATTAATAATGTAATTTAATACATTGGTAATACTGAATTTTTTAATTAAACATTTCTAAATAAAATTGGTTTCTAATCAGTTTTACATGCTAAAGCTGAACAAATACGCTGTTCTAATCTATCTTTACACCAAGTCCATGCAACATTTTCTGGAACTCTTGTACGTTGTTGTACTGCATTCATACCACATAGCGCTGAGCATAGTGACCACTCCGACCATGGCGAATAATTACATCCTATAAGAAATCAGTTCTATCAATATATAAAATATATTACCTAACTACTACAATTCACAATATTTTACTTAAACATGACGTACACAACTCCAATCTCGAGTATTGTTTGTATAAAAATAATTGATCAATTTTTATATTATAAGAATTAGTAATATTGACATAGTCACGTAGATGATGGAAAAATGAGAACTCTTTTTTTACTAAGACTTTTTCCTTCAACAATTATTTCTTAAAGTTATTGAAAGTGCTACAATTATCATTATCACCTAGTAATAGGTTTAGATTCTGAGCAGAGAGATGAATCATGAATGTATTAATATTTTACTATGTCTATGTGTGTGTTTTTTTGTCTGCCATCGCCATTTGGATTAGTTATAAGAAGCTTCAGCCTTCAATCTTCAACTTTTCAGAGAGTAGTTTTTGGTAGGAATCCAGGTTTAATTGGTACTTTGAAGTTGAAGGATCAAGAGTAAAAATTACAAGTAAAAAAAAAAACTATGAAAAACGAACATTTTTACTCAAAACCGGTTTTGAATTTATTTTTATTTTTTTGTAATTCTCAAATTAATATTTTAATAGACTTGAATTATTCACCAAATATTTATTTTAACATTTCTGTACTCAATATAATTTTGAAAATGTTATGGCTTATATTATGAATATGAACATTATTAAGTACTACATTTATTATTTTAGTGAACTACGTATAATATTATTTAATTGTGGAGTTGTACACCATATTTTTAATAATAATTTATACTTACGTACTTAACCAATCTAATGTGTTATGCTAGGTAATGCAAAAACAAAAAATAAACATCATAGATTAATTTTATATATGTATATATATTTACATATACATATATACAGCAAGTATTTGGTTAATATTCTGAATTATGTATTTTTAGATATTTGGTAATTTATTTCGCAATATTGCAAATAAATAAGTATTATTTTGGAATAGTTTTTTTTATTTTTAAGCTTAACAATGTTTTAGGCACTCGTCATTTGTTTAGTAATTCGGTTACAGTTTCAACATTCTGCACAAATGCCAATGACTGTGTAAAAAAAATACAAAATCATTTTTAATTTTTTTTGTATAGGTTATAATATTATCTAACAATAATATGTTATTGCATAGTTAACTCTGTAAGTCATATTATTATTTTATTTTCATAATATTATTGAATAAGATATATTATTGCATTTTGAACTTACTGCTACATTGTCTTCCTCGACAGTTTCGACGATCAACTAGTTTTTTCCTGCATTTCTTTTGTTCCAGTGGATCCGTTGGGGACTAAAATACAGAATATTTATACAAGGTTGACTTACTTGACTTCTTATTAAGTAATAAAATAACTAACTAGTATGGTTCGCGTACGCTCTTTGAAACCAGGACCACAAATAGCATTACAACTTGAAAATTTACTCCAATTTGACAAAAAACATTTTTCCGTCGAATCGTCTGAAATCTAAATAGTAAAAAAATTCTTTTAACGATATATAAATGAAGTAGAATAGTTGTTTTATTATTGTAGTCTATAATGATATACTAAAATTAGTTTAAAATAATAATTAAAAGTTAACAAAAAACTTAATAATTGACAAAGTTTTGGATAAATTATTTTATTTATTTATTTTAAAAAGAACGTTATAATAGTTGTTGTGTATGTGTTACAACCTAATTGATACTTTGATGATATAGTTACTTAAGTGCTTCCTTTAACATATTACCGAACAATTTAATCCGAGCACTTTGAGTTGAGTCAATCTGGTAAGTTACATTCCTTTTAAAAACTGTTTATAATAAATAATTTATACTGATTTTTACTCAGTATTTGTGATGTGCATTTTAATTTCACCAAAAATAACTTGCTTTTTAGTTTGTTTATACTTACATCGTCTGGATTTAAAGTAACAGATGTTACTGGTGTATTTTCAGAACTTGGTGATGTGGTTGTTTCTAAATAAAAAATAAAAACACTTTGTATAAAACGTAGATGTCGAAAAAATAATTATCTTTTTAAATTTGTACGATTTAACATACGATTGACGATGGAAGTATTGCATAACCTATTTGTCTTTTGATTAATATTATAAATAAGAGACCGTTGTACCGTTACATTATATTTCTTTAACATAAAACTGTTTCCAAATAATAAAATATCCTCTAATATATGCAGCATGTAAAATTATATTAAAACATTTTCACTTTATCATTTCAAACATTTGTAAATTTGTAATGAATTATTAAGATTTAAGATCAACATATCTTACCCATTCGCATATTGTTTTCACATGGAGGATTATCTGTACAATTTATTGTCTGTGTATAACAACGAGGGTCACAATTTTCTGATGTTGCAGTTTTGTCAAAATTCATCCTATGTCTCTCCTTCTGACCCGTTCCACATTTCATATTGCAAGGTGACCACAACGACCATTTAGTTAGTGAACAATTACTGCATATTATACCCAAGTCCTAAGATTTCATTAATACTTCAGGCATTTATTATTCATAAATAATAAAATATAATATTGATAATTTTATTCTAACCACGTTATCACGTTCGTCTTGGCAAGGTTTTGATTCGCATGGTATAGTTTGCTGTAAGAACATTCTACCCAAACAGTATTTTGGTGTCACTTCTTCGTTTAAGATTGTCCGAAATCTTGCCGTTACACCAGGTCCACACTCTGCTGAGCAATCCGACCACTGACCAAAAGCAGTTACATCACATTTTGGATCAATCGTATCAGTCTCCTCAGCCTCAATCCTAAAAATAAATCGTATCGTTTTATTCATTAATCTCAACTTCTAAAGACACATCATGAAGTTCTCAATTTTACAAAAGGTAACAATAGATTTTAATAGTTTGTAATTTAAATTATTTTTTTTTTATTATTACTTCTTCAAACAAATCAATATATTGATAAATAGGTAAATAAACTTTAATTTGAAAATAATTTTGTCCTTTAAGCATGCTTGTGATGGAAAAAGTGAGTTATAATAGTTATAGTATTACAAATATATAATACTTAAAAGCCAATATAAATATTTAAGAAATTAAAAGTGGACCTATACGTAAGTACCTAATTTATAAATTAAGAATTTAAAAATTTTTGATCTAGTTAAAATAAACATATATAAAAGAAACCAATAGTCTATTCATATAATTCACTCGTTAAGACACTCAAATATATATTTCAAAACAGATTTTTTGACATATTTTACAAAATTAACAAAAATGCTCTTCTTTTTATCTTTACAGACAATTAATTATAATATGTAAGACACTAAGACCAAGAAAGTTCACGAATTTAAAAAAAAATGTTTAACAAACTTATACAATATTACAATGATAAAGCACCAGGTATGTTTTTTTTCACTTTATCTTCAATAATTTATATATACCTAGCCAACCTAATAATATTTAAGTTCCACAATATACCAATTTTTTAAATGAATATTAACTTACGCACACGAAGGAAGCACATAACATCCTTTACGTTGTGTCATCGACCGTTTGCTACAGTGAGGTTTATGTGCGTCTTCTGGATTCTTATATTGCCTATATCTATTACTGTAGCCTTTGCCACAAGTCACTGAACACTCGTCCCAATCTGACCACGGTCCAGTATCACAAACTTATAGTGCATAGAACAAATAAATCAGTTCGTTGAATTAAACGTAAACAAAAGAAAAATCTTAACAGGCAACATACCTGATTGTTCGGTTTTAGACTCTTCTTCTGAGCAACTTTTTTCATAAAGACGTTGTCTCATAAGATGAAGTTTTGCAATAGGCTTCATTTGTGCACCCGATTGGTCATAAAATGGAGAACGCATATCATTGGTATTCGATGGCCAAACTCTCTCTATATTCATTATTGGTACTTGAGGCATATCAGATGACTGAAATAAATCATATTAAACATATTTTCCAGCTTTTTTTTAAATAGTTACTATTTATAAACAACTGCAATAATTATTAAAATTTGTATATTATTTATAATTTATTAAAACAAAGTCATTTGTTGAATAGTGACTGAAAAGTATGAAACCATAACGTGGTTGTAGAGTGGTAGTATTAATATGGTTAGGTATATTGGTTAGGTATATTAACCTTTAATACTAGTGGCTTGTCAGTAAGTAACTCTAAAACAAATGACCTTATAATACATGTCATTTAATATCCTAAACTGACAAACCGTCTTCACTCAGAATCGTTTTTCGTATATAATGATAATATTATATCATTGAATTCAAATTTAATACCATCAATTATAGTCACCGACTTAAGTAGTACAAAAAATCTAAAAAATTTGAAAATATGGTCTTAAAGTAAATTTAAAAACTAAAAAAATCAGATTTTGAATAACTGTGCAATAATGAAAAAAAGGGGGTGAGAATGCTTGCAACCTGTTTACAAAAAACGATTCTGAGCGGGAATGGTCTATCACCTCACCTTTTTAAAGTAACTTATTTTATTATTACCTAGTGTAACGGTAGGTTGATTTAATTTTTGCAGAAAACATTGCATTTATTATATTTATTTATTATAATAGTGTACATTTCTATCATAGTAATATACTATAATATTGTTATTCACATTTGAGTCAATACCTCCTTACCGTAGAACAGTGTGAATATAATACGTTGATGGTATAAATAGGTAATAGTTTAAAATGAATCCAACTATTTAAAAAAAGGTCATTCCATATAGTAAATTTTATAATATAGGCACGTAAAAATTTAAAGTCTCCTCGAATATTGTTTTTCAATCATAACAAAATAACAACTGACATCGTTATTAATATTGTGCATATATATTTTTAAGAATTTGTGGTTTCAGTATGAACTACTTATGGTTATGGGAAACCTTGTATTTAATGTTCAGGCTTTAAAATCAAACAAACACTTTTTTATCGATTTTAATAGAAAAAATTTAAAAAAAATCAAAACTGTTAGCTATTTATAAATAGTTTCAAAAGATTCAAAATATTTTAAAAATTGTGCAATATACAGAACATGATAATTTAAACGTTTGGTGAAAATATAAAGTATCTAGTATGATTATTTATTTTTGAATTACAACATATCAAAAATCGTTTGAGAATAAATAGTTATTTTACGAGTTAATATCCAAAGTCTTACAAATTTAAAATACAAACGCTCATATAATATTATTGTGATTTTCCAGTAAACTTTTTTATTGTAATAAATTTTTTATATATAAAACCATAGTATGAGGAATCTTGTATCAAATTTTCATCCTTAGAAATGAAAAATAAAATTTTTATGAATTTCTAATAACAAATAAATTTGTACATTTTTGCGATTTTAACGATTGAATTACATCAAAATTCTTAATTCATTCCCTCATAAAAGTTTATTAGGGATTTTTGTTCATGACAGTAATTATTGAAAAAAATCCTAAAAAAAATGAAAATTGAAAGTTATCTAATTTCTATGTTTTTAGTAACAAATTTTTATTAGTAGCAAAGCTTGATTAAAAGTTTATCAGGCTCGATAGTGGAATTTTATAATGGGCCCCTTTAAATATCTAAAACTATTTATTATTGGACTCAATTGACTATTGAGCTTCTAAGTCTTAGTTTCTACCACCACCCACGACTTGCATGCTGGCCCATTAATCAGGCCAGAATCGATAGTAAGTATAGTAATACTAGCAAGTTTGGTATTAATAAGATTAGGTATTAGGTCAACTCTTGATGTATTAGTTTACCTAATCAAACATTTAATTTTCTATCTTTAAATATTAAAGTAAGCAACTCAATATGGTAATTTGTAATATGTATGATGGAATTTTCTTATATTATAGTAAGTGATTAAAATTACTAGAACAAAATACATTGTATGTGACTCCGCTATCAATTCCAGCGTCCCATGGGTACAGGTTGATGGTTTTATTCGTAATCCAATTACAGTTTGGCAAACATAGTTCCAAACCCGAAATTCCAACAAACCAATCCGGCGATGGATCTAGTTTTAAATGAAAAGTATCTTAAAATGTATCCAAAAGCAGCTTAGAATATTTTACAAATAATTTAGATTCTTACACATGAATGACACAACTGAAATCAAATGATGATCTTGATCCACTCGAAATACAGCAAATGTCTTTCCAGTCACATTTGGATAGCTAATACCTCTGGCTTTAATTATAGTACGAATTTTATCGCTCTAAAACAAAATATTATTAAATGATTTTAAGTATCTCAGACTGTTATAACATTTTTTTTATCACTTTGGATTTAAGTTCAGATTCCAAAGTCGAAGTAGTTCCACTTTGTGCTATGCTATTCATTCCATCGGAAGCTACTTGATCTTGTTCCCAAAATCTTGAAAATGATAAAAACTTGGTAATCATATTTATGTATTATATATAAATATAAGTATACATTGTTTATCATCAATATACCGATAGTCAATTGTATGTGAAGCGCCAATAACATCACTAAATCGAGTCTGCCAATTGTCGTCCGGGTAATCTTTTGGGTGAGTATGTCTTGACCATAGTCCTTCAAAAGTTAACTATAAAATGTCGTATTAAACTTTCAAAATAATTTTTATTGCATTTCTTATAACTTAAAAGCTCGTAAAACAATAGTCAAATAAGTACATACTACCTCTACTTATACCTAGATACTTTGACTTTAATTTTAAACTAATCTCATAAATACAAACCTCGAACTTAGCTTCATGACACGCACAACACTCGTATACTACATTAGCGTTATCGTCATTGCTTTCATTACTTTCTTCGCAAATTCTTTTGTTTAAATGTTCATCGTCCATATACCAAATATCACGATATTCAACAATTGTAGCTCTAATTAATCCAAAAATGTAATAATGATATACATCTATTTATACATTATATACCTAATATAATATGTACTCAAAAATATAACGTAAGAGTTTAAAATACCAAATTTCAATAATATAAATATAGTACCTAATTATTTTAAAAATAAACAATCTTAAACATACCTAAATACAACACATCCGCTACCAGATGACGGAGCTGTCCAAAATACTTGTACTTCTGATTTTGGAATTAAAGAGGTCTGAGTAACTGTATTTGGGCAGACTTCGCTAATTTTTGTTCTTACGTCACCAGTAAGTTGAAATTTTCCAGATATAAAGTCGTTGTTTTCGTCGTCATAATTCTGGCTCTCTTCAGACTCGACCATCAATATAAAACTAGTAAAACTTGGTGTTGCAGTAGTCTTAATACCTTGCAGTAAAACTAGAGACAACCGAAATTAATGTTGTACATTTTAGATTCTGAGCGGAGCTATGAAAGTATTGATTATACAATGATATGGGATTTTTATTTTTCAGTGTACCTTTGTCCTATGTGTATTTATAGTAGAAAAATACTTCAATTTTCAACACGGGGGGGGGGGGGGTGATATCTGGTAACTAATTAGATCTAGTAAGTACCTACTTTTAAAAAGTCAAAATTTAAAATTCCTTATAGTTTTCAAAAGTTTACCGGAAAGCCACATTAACTTTTATGAACGTTTGAAATTGATACGTCATTTGATATTTACCCGTTAATTAACTATTTATACTCAATTGATTTTTGATATTTTGTTGTAATTCATAAATAAATAACGATAAATATTTGAAACTATTACCAAATTTAAATTTTATCAGTTTCTATACAAGACAAGATTTTTGAAATATTTTGACTCTTTTCAAGCTATTTAAAGGCGTGCATTTTTTCAGTTATTGTTGATAAAAAAGGTTGTCAATAAGCTTATAATTTAATATAAGGTTCGTTATAACTTTTTACCCTAGGTATTAACAAATATTAAAAATCCGTATAAACATATTTTTTTATAAATATTTGAAGTTCTAATTTAGATAAATTGCATATTTAAACTAAAAATTGTATTTGAAAATATAAATAAAACTCAAAAAGTTACGCACGATCACACGAGTACACGACCTTTTCTATTACACTTTACTGATAGTAATTTGATATTAACAATTAACAAACATTTTTAGTGGAGGACTAACCGATGCATAGGCGTGATACAATGTGACTGCTGCACTCACCCCACAACAGTTCTTTGGTAGTAACACCACATAATATAACTACGCGAAAATAAATTTAACAGCTATAATTTGTAAATATTATTCACGGGGACTCAAAACTCTTACGTACTTATATTATACATTTTAGTAATAGTTGTTTTACTACATTGACATTTTCAAAACATTTAGATTAATTTTATGCTACTGTATGTTTATGGTTTATAATGAACAGCAATTTATTTATATGGTAAATAGGCTTACAGACCGTTTGTGCTCAAAATCATTTTTACAGTAGGTGTTTAGTTATCTCGTCATTGAGTAAGTAGTACCTAATGGATATTACGTCGTTACGATCATTTAATTTTGAATTACAACAAAAACATAAAATTTATTCGAAATCTTAAAGGTACCAACCAGAAACCACGCTCGAAGTTGAATATCAAACTTTATGACATTTTACCTCTATAAAACGTGTACACACTACTATACAGACACAAAAAATAATATTTTTAATGTCTATAATATTAAGTTTATATATTTAAATTTAATAATTTTTAATAATAAAAAATCCATCAAAATATCATACATTCATCGCTCTACGCATCGCTCCACTCAGAAGTTAAAAACCGATCTATATTGGCTATATTGTGCATAAAAAATAATTTCTAAAACAAGCACGTATATTTTCACAATTATAGGAATGTATAATAAATAAATGTAAAAAATAATATAGAATTTCTAAAAATGTTATTAGTTTTTGATTAATACATTTATAATTATTCCCTAATTAGTATTATTTTAAGTTTTAAATTCCCTATCAATTTTGTAAATAAATAATACACATACAATTATGGTTTTTTTTTTTAATAAATAATAGTAACTTATAACATTCATGATTTTTGTTACCTGTGTATGTAGTTCCTGGTGTATAATATTCTATATTTCCTTTAAAAACAATTCTAAATGGATGTGGATTTGTACTTTTTGGTGTTGATATTGAAATTGGCTTTCGGTCACATATTTTGATTGCCGAAGAAATAGAAAAATATAATACAAACGCCGCAAAAAATATACTTCTGATAATCATAGTTTCTGTGAAATAGATATTATTTTACATTGATATTATATTTTATAAGAAAACACATTTGTTCACAATCATTATTCGGCTAGTAAAATTAAAAATAAGTACTATTGGCTTGATGAGTAAGTTTATAGGTACCTACCTACCTACTTTTAATCTTAAAACTAACTTTTTTTTTTAAACATTATTTACATTAGGCAAGCATGTTTAATGATATAATTAAATAAGTAGGTACGTACGAACCCTTCATTAATTAATTAATTATATTTATAATATAGAATTATTTTATTTAAGTACAGCTAAATAATATAATATTAAATCAGTGACAAAAACTAATAAAATTATTTTGATTAATGTTCAATACTTGAATATTGAAGAAATATTGAATGGTATGCTAGCAGTCTTGAATTGTTACAAAAAATTGTCTTAAAGTACCCTCTTTTAAGTTTTAACTTGAGATTTAATCCACCTTTTGCTATACCTCATTCTAAAAATAATTACTTAACAAAATAGTTTGGTGTGCCGGTGTCACCTACCAATAATGTGTAACCAAATTCAAACTTTGATTTTTTTTCGATTTCTGTTCTAAGCTAAAAACTTGTATTTATAATTTAAATAGTTTATGTATAATATGTATTCAATATGTATTCCGTTATTCTCTTTAAATCTTAATTTAAAGATAATTTTGTTCTTCAATTACTGCACTCTAACCCTCTGGGGTGTTATATATTTATATATTTATTATATATACATATATTATTATTATTATAATTATTATTAGTACTATTATTAGTAATCTTATTGTGCAAAGGTACATTGCATAGGTGTATGTAGCATATATATGTTGTTCATGAATAATATTGTCGCTATAAATACAAAAACCATTTTGGCATGTACAGCTTCTACTTGTTAGAACTCATTGTAATAATCATTAAATAATTTGTTAGTTATTACATTTGTGGCTTGTGCGAGTTATTCTAAACTTGATGATACTTATTAGTATTTTTACTTATACGTTTATTTAATATTATAATTTTATAGATCCATTCAGTTACAAAACATAGGAGAAGCTTAAAATAATACTTTTTAAATTTAAGTAAAAAATTTTATGATTTATAACAGCGATATTGTAAACCAGTGGTTTCCAATCTGGTCGTCGCAACTCCAAAACGGGGTCCCAGGTGGTCCATAGTGGTCACCAAAAATAATAAACAAAATAGTGTTTCATAAGATGACTTTCAAACATATAATTTTAAAATTTAAAGTTAAGTTAGAATAAGAAACTTTTACTTATTTGATAAATTTAAATTAAACTATTAAGTGTACCTACCTGTTTACAAGTTAAATTTGTTATCAATAACAAGTACTGTAAATTGTAGGTAGTGGTTAATATTTAACTATGGTGAAATACCTACTTCTAAACATCTGTTAATTACATATATATTATATAAATTAAAACACTATAGTAGGTATTATGTAGGTACCTTTATATTATCATGTAATAATATATTATTTAGAAAATATATTCATTTTCTATTATTAACTTTTTTTCGGGGTCACGATTCATGAAAGATTTAAAACCACCGGTGTTACTATAAATTATAACAGACAACCCAAATATTAAAAAAATATTTTTTGAAAAAAATCAATCTGTAAATATTCACAATAAGAATTGTTGATAACATATATATATATTTATGAGTTATGACTAGAAAAAATTGAACTGTAGAGAAACCTACTCTATATATATTTATATTGATACAAGACAATTTCTATAGGAGTAACTCATTTTATATTGACCATCCATTTAGTGTTATTTGTCAATGAATATTATCTCAACAAAATAAAATCCTTAACATCTCAAATTGATTATACGTTGTAATCAATAATCACTGTCGAAATATGTAAATAAATTTAAATGTAGCGAATTATGTTCACATTTTCTTAATATATAAAAGTTTTATATACCTACTTAAAAACAAACAATTTACCTTTATGAATGCAAATGGAATCTGTAGTTAGTCCACGTGAATAATTGTCATATAATAATAAACTACATATTTGTAACAAAGGAAATTCGTAAGATCTCGTAAAAAATGTAATTAATTGTATAAAAAAATCACAGTGACGACACACGTAAACGTATTACTGTGGGTCAGAATAAACTGCCACAAAATGGAATGCTGGATGCTGTACCGCTGCCAGAAAAGAGATCATAATAAAAAATGATGTAAAAAGGGATTGTGTGTAACAATCTGTAAACTTTTTGGTACTTCACATTTATGTATTAGCGCTGCCTGTCGGGTCGGCAAAAGTGTGACTGTTCTATAAAAAAAAAAACTTCAATCGATACAGCGCTGAAGCACTTCCCAGCTCTACAGGAAATTCATTATTCTCTCTTATAGTCTTATTATTCATGCCGGATGCCTTATAAAATGGACCTACTAATACTCACATAAAGTTGAATTGCGAATATAATATTAAGAAATGTATGATATACACGCTATCTATATCATAAAACCTATTTATATACTATACCTATACATATTATTTTACTGGATCTGAAGATTATATCTATATTATATTGTTATTCACTATTTATTCTATTTATGTCATAATAGTTAAATAATTTGTTTAAGTATCATTTAATATAATATAATACATATAGTATACCTATTTATTAACTACAGTGTATTGTGTATTCTATAGCTTGCTGAATATAATAAAACTTCATTATTGTTTAACGGAAACTGCCGCAGCTCACAATTATGCCATATTTTGTAAAAGCCAGCTTACCACACAGAATCATACTGAAACAATCACCAAAAAATCGTTGTACCTATGTAAACCCAAATTAAATTTATTCTAAGTGGAGTTTCATCAAAAAAAAAGTTGCTCTGCTATACAGTAGGTTAGAAGTGGGTCACTGTTTAATGGATAGTATTAAATTTGAATTCAATGATATAATATCATTGTATAAGAAAAACGATTCTGAGCGGAGACGGTATGTCAGGCTAGGTTTAAGACATATAATATACATATCTATGGTATTAAAAAAAAAATTGACCAATCACAATATCCATTAGGTACTTATAACGCGTTAAACATCAACAACAAACCGTGATCATGGATATATAATAGAACACTTAGAAGTTTCAAGTACCCACGAATAATATTATACAATCACAACAAAATGACTAAAATAGTTACTCGATGTTTTTTTTTATGTGATTTCGTCCAAATTTGAACTTAAAATGACTATAAAAATAAACTGTGTTTATGTGTTTTTTAGATTTTTTGGTAACAGAATTAACTACTTACGTGGAATCTTGTTTATAATTTTCATTCCTTAGATATAAAAGTGACCATTTTATAAGTTTTTAACTACAAAATAATTATTCAATTTTAAATTTGATAAATTTTCTCAAAATTCGATCTTTAAATGCTTAAAAAAAAAATTGTGCCTATGTATTTTTAATATTTTTCAACTGATATTGTAACAATATATCAGAAGCCTTGTATTAAATTTTTACACTTTTTAGCCCAACAGATAAAACTATTGATATTTATAGAAAAAAAAACTAAAATAATTGAAAACTGAAAATGTCCCTAAACAGCTCAAAAAGAGTCAAAATATTTTCAAAATTGTATGGTGTATAGTAAATTCTAATATAAACATTTAGTGAAATTTTTATGTATCTACAATTATTCGTTTTTGAATTACAACAAAATAAAGAAATCGCTACATGAGAAATCGAGTGAATATCCAATGTTGTAAAAATTTGAATTTAAAACGCTCATAAAAATTTAATTTGACTTTCTTATATACATTTTTTTTTGATAAAGGTAGATAATCTTATAAGGAATCTTGTATTCAATTTTATAATCTTCGATTTAAAAAGAAAAATTTTTACGAATTCTTAACTCAAAATAATTTGCTAATTTTCGTGATTTTTCCATATTTTGTCAATTTTTGAACTTTAAATGCTTATAAAACAAAACTCTGACTAAGGATTTTTAATATTTTTCATCTGCCTTTGAAACAATATACTAAGAGCAAATATAAACAACCAGTGAAAATTTCATATATATAAATTCATTTGTTTTAGAGTTACACCAAAAGCCAAAATCGATTTTGTCAAAAACCGATTTTACGTAAAAATTCCCGTTTTTCCTTATTTTTTATGTTGTTTTTCCCGGCGCTTGTGAAAACTACTAGGAATTTTAAAATTTGACCTCCCGAATGCACCAGCTAGATTCACTTTCCCATCGAACAAGATACTGTTGAAGAAAATCGAAGCAGTTTTACTGTCCCAATCGGCCAAACCGTGATGACAGACACAAAAAAAAAAAATCACATATCATTGTAAAATCAATACATTTATCGTTCCACTCAGAATCTGAAATATTACAACCATGTTAAACCAGCTGTTTGACCAAAATTTCAAATTTAACATTCTAAATCAGTGATCATTTTCAAATATACATAGGTAAAATATAAACTTAGTTGAGTATTTTATTATGAAAATGTTGACTGAAAAAAACCATTATTGTAATGTATTACAATATTAAGTACCGAAATATATTATATATATACCTAAAATCAAAAAATGTTTTTCTAGTTCAAAACTACCTACTACTTCTACAGTTATACAAAAAGGGAGGGGATGTACTTTACTTTCTCCCCTGTCCAGTAGTGTTGTTAATACTTAAAAATCACATGGCTCGATTTTTTTTCTATATACATATATAAATATATATTATGATAACAACACGAAGCCCAAAACAGCATAAACCATAGGCGGCTAAACGTCGAAAGACCTCCCGGCCTTATTTGTAAAAACAACCCTTTTCAGGTTTACAGACTGACAGACTTATACAAAGATTTTGATTAACTTCTTAGTACTTAAAACGTGCCAATTAAAATTACAAGATGCCTACCAGGAAATATATATATCACTTTTTTATAAGTCTATATAATTTTGTTTCTAAACGCTTATTAAAATAATAAAGGTTAGGTGTGTCATAAATGTTACCATAATATATATTTTAATCTTTTTTTCAAAAATATATCATACAAATTAGGTACCTATACCGGGGATATACCTAACCTAATGACAGTTGAGTCCCATAAGTAGTATATTATTTTCGAATCCATATGACTTAGCTTAAGTTTTTAGATAAAGAACAAGAGCCACTTCATTGGAAGTATGACTCAACCAACGTGTAAAGTATACATTATCATATTTTAAAATATATACATTTGTTAAACATAATTATTTAATATATTTTTTTTAAATAACTTTGGGTCGTTTAAATAAAAAGTATTGGAGCAGGTATAAAAACAACATGTATGTATTATTATTATAAGTAGATACTATGATTGAAAATTGGCCTAATTGGCATGATACCGAAGTATCAAAATTATGCCAAATTAAGTCATTGATGAGTTAAGTAAGTTTAAAATACAAGCGAAGTCCCTCTCAGTCTTCTGTAGCCTGTAACTATAGAAAGTAATGGTCCAATGGTGGAGAGTACCTCAACCTCGTCATTAAGTTCATCACTGTAATTGAGTGTAATGGCTGTATTCAATTTGAGTTCTACTATCATTGCATAGGTGCGAAAAATTAAAATGTTAGTAGTAATTACAGTATGCTAAACTCATTTTTGTCAAAAACCTTATATTTCGCAGCATTAAGCATTTAATAAACAGGATGTTCAAAAAGTTTTGAAACAGTCATTAGACTATTATATTAGAACTGATAAATGATAATATTTTATATTATGGTATAATTAATGAGGTGATTAAATAGTGTACCTAATAATTATGCAGTGTTATCTGTGATTGCTTTATGTACAGATATAAAATATGCAAACAGTAATTAAAGTGTTTCAAAATTGTTTGAACACCTTGTATTAATAATTAGTATACATAATATTAATTTTTGATGTAAACTTATAACTTAAAATAATAGATTCGTAGTATAAATAACTTAAACATTAAAATTTTTTATTATGAAAATCGCACAGTTTATACAAAATGATAATTTAAGTACCTAATAGTGTTATGTACCTACCTATAGTTATGTTTTAAGTTTCTACAATTAATATTTTTTGAATTACATATACTTAACACAATTATAAGTATATAAATTAATTATTCATTTAAATAGATGCCTATCCAATTTCGTCAAAATTAGAACTTGTCAATAAAAAAAAAATATATTGTGCATACGTATTTTAATAATTTTTGGGTAACATGCCAGGATTTCGAGGAGTTAATGCGTTATGCATCGTCGGACATCTTGGACTTGACCTAAAATTTTTATAGTTGTACTAAATATTATATAAATGAATCATTCATATTTTATAATATTTGGTCGTACTCGACCCTCGCGATTTTAAAAAATAAAGTACAATGTGTATAGACAGTATAGTATAAGTTATTCACTGCCAGGGGCGTATTAACATGTTTCCCGAGTGTAGGCCTGTGGAAAATGCCCGCCCTAAATAACTAAAATAATAATATAATATACTGCACTAACTGAAATTATCATTTAATTAGCTACTGTAAAATATTTTATTTTAATTAGGTAAGTATGCAAAAGAAATTTTATTTAAATACTAAATACTAAAAATGGCGCGTGCCTATAGTGCCTGCATATAAATACGCCACTGTACACTGCTATACACGTCGCGACGGTGAAGTGTGAACAGTAGTGTACCACGAGACTTTTGTTGGGCCGAGACGCATTGTCTCGCTGCAGAGAGTAATAATTATACTATAATCATTATTAATATTAAAGAATGGTCTTCTACCAAGGTAGAAACTTACCATCTCTGATAATCATCGATGACGTGGGCAATTCAAATTGTATAGGCGTTGAGTAGGTATATTATTATGATCTTATATACCATTTATACAATAGACATTACACAATATAATACGGGTATAATATACAACATATTATATTATTAGCACCTACATAGCAAACACTCATCGACACGTAACTCTACACGAGCCGAGTATCGGCAACAACATATGTGTATTGCTTCAATATTTTAATAGTTTAATATTTGTATCATGTGCCCAACCAGAAGGTCGGGCGTTTAAAAAATTACATTTCTAGACTCCTTTGAGTGCTCCCCTCCACGGAAATCTTTAGTAAAAGGCGAAAGATTTTTTCGATTTGAAAGGGAACCGGAGTTGTCGTTTGGTCGGTATTGGGTTCCCTATATACCATCGGTCGGGTCACGACGCCGTGCAGTCGGCCGGTGTCACACCACACCGTTTTCCCGAATACAGACGAAAGTTGGTCGGCCCTGTGAGCTTCCGGATCGGGTCCGGTGTGAACTTTCGGCGTCGTCGCGACGGCCGTCTGCGAAACCCGGCGGCTGCGGTTCGCCCAAAACGCTCGGCTTCCACGTCGATACTGCGTCGTCAAGCGGCCGCGCACGCAAACGCCATCTACCGGCTGTCAGACGAAACACTGGTGAACGGCGGCTGGCGACCTGCAAAATAATATGTGCCATATTATAATATATATTGTCGCTTTCAAACGATTGTCGAACATTATAATAAGTGTTTGTTCCTATTTTTTCGCACTTTCGATACCGTGAAACAACTATCATCTCCACTAATTTGTTTGCTTGCTGTCTCCGACTAATTGTCGAGTAGAATGGCGTCCACCCGCGTACTACAATATAGTCAAATTTCTGTCTTTAGCGTATCTTCCAGTGCGTTCGACGTTACATTCCGCCCCATTGTATTCCACCCGAAAAATAATAATCCACGGACTGCGTTTAATCACTGAACGAAACATAGTAGAGTAATAGACAGTTCCGACAATAATATTATTACGTGGACCGTTTAACACCGAAATTCCAGAACGTTCATATCGTATTGAACGTCCGCAAACACTGCTGCGGCGGCGGCGGCAAAATTATATTATCGCCGGACACTATTTTATTTACAGCCTCCACCACAGCATGAGCGGGCCGTATAAAATTATAGGTGCACCGTATTCAACCAGAAAAATAAGTGCACTGTTTTTTCGGAATAATAATATGTTATGTACAACTGGCGACCCGCCGCCCTGGTGGTGAACATCCGTATTAATTTTTTATAATTGTTAAATTATATTGTTTTATTATATAAGATTATTAATATTGGTAGGCACAATCGTACAATCAATAAATTGTACTTAACCAATGGTTTTACAATGACGATCTATGCGAAGCATTTAAACGTATGAACAATGAACACCAATATTACAAGGATCACAACGTAGAATAGAATAGTAGAAGTAAGGAAATATTGTTAGGTTGGGTAGGCGTAGTCGATTTATTTTAATCGCAATAATCCCATGTTTCGAATACCTTCAAAATCTGTGTCACAGTATAAAAAAAAGACATCGGTTTTCCAATAAAAATGTACAAATTATGTCAAATAGAACGAACGACATTTCGCCTCAAGAGCGCACCACCTGTACATGAAGTCGGTGTCGTGTCTTGATTTGAATAAAACTATATTTTTTTTATGGTCGTTTTCGTGTGCATCGACATTAAAGATTATGTTCATGGTTGTGTTGTGACTTATGTCTGCACAGTAGCCAGGGGCGTATTTATGAGGGAGGCTGGGTGGGCTGCAGCCCCCCTGAAATTTCAAGAAAATCCAAAAAATATGAATGTCAATAAAACTTTATTTGTTGGGTAAAAAAGCTTGAAAATTTAATACAAGCCTCCTGCTATATTGTTACAATAGCAGTTGAAAAATATTAAAAATCCTTAGTCATAGTTTTTTTATAAGCATTTAAAGTTCGAATCTTGACAAAATACTGAAAAATCACAAAACTTAAAATTTTGCTGAATGTTTTCATTTTTTATACACCAAAAAAATTTGAAAATATTTTGCCTCTTTTTGAGCTATTTACGGACATTGACAGTTTTCATTTTTCTTAGTTTTTTTTCTATAAAATAAATATCAATAATAATTTTTTTGTTGGGTAAAAAGCGTGAAAATTTAACGCAATAAGGCTCCTGATATATTGTAACAATATTAGTTGAAAAATATTAAATTATAATCATTATTTTCTTATAAATTATAATCATTTAAAGTTCGAATTTTGACAAAATTTATCAAATTTAAAATATAATAAATATTTTGTAATTAAAAATTTATAAAATGTTCAACTTTCATAGTTAAGGATTAAAAATTTAAAACAATGGTCCACGTAAATAGGTAAATATATAAATTACTTTATTCCCAATAATATCATCAAATATACTTAGTAATCATAGGCTGACTGACCGTTTTCGCTTAGAATCGTTTTTCTTATACAATGATATTATATCATTGAATTCAAATTTTACACCATCCATTACAGTGACCCACTTGTTACCTACTGTACAGCAGAGCGACATCCACTTACCCACTTTTTCTTTATTGTGTGACTATGTTGATAATTTTGTTCAGCCCCTCCCGAAATAAAATTCTGGATACGCGCCTGACAGTAGCACAACCAGGATTTATTCAAGGGGGTTGGGGGGGGGTCCAAAAAATGTATTTAACTACTGTTTTTCTGTTCATTTCCCGAGTATATATATATACATTTTATTTCTTAACAAACACAATTTGGCGGATTTATGGTCATTTTATTATAAAAAAAAAAACATAATTATTTTATTTACATTATAGATTCTGAGCGAAGCGATGAATGTATTGTTTTTACAATGATGTGTGTTTAAGATTCTGAGTGGAACGATGAATGTATTGATTTTACAGTGATGTGTGATTTTTTTAATTTTTTTTTTTTTTTGTGTCTGTCATCACGGTTTGGGGCAATAAAACTGCTTCCATTTTCTTCAACAGTATCTTGTTCGATGGGAAAGTGAACCTAGTGGTTCATTTGGGAGGTTAAATTTTAAAATTCCCAAGAGTTTTCACAAGAACCGGAAAAAAAACAACATAAAAATTAAGGAAAAACTGGAATTTTTACGCAAAATCGGTTTTCCACAAAATCGATTTTGGTTTTTGGTGTAACTCTAAAACAAATGAAATATGTATATACATGACATTTTCAATGGTTGTTTATATTTGAGTTTTCTATACAAGATGAAATTTTTATTAATTATTAATTTAATTGATTAATATTTAATATAATATTTACGTAATACTCCTCGAGTAACAGTGACACAGTGTACCTATAACACCTGCAACATATAGCATAGGTAAGTGACAAGTGTATCTATGATTTATTTGGTGACCCATTCACCATTGACCATTGTATCAAATATCTAATATACATTATACAATGTTCATAATATATCACTCTGTATTGATTTTTATCTGTCTCAACAATGGAAAACAACTCATACCATAAAAAAATGTAAAAAACTGTAAAAGTTAGTGACTAACAATAAAATAATCGCATCGAAGTATCGAACTATTATAATATAACAGGGAACAGTGTTTTTTTCGACTGACAAAAATTGTAATAGTATAATATATTATTACTCGTAGCATAGGCGCAAATAGCCCAATATTTTGGTGGGGGACTAAAACCCCACGATCTTCCTATATTAGTTTTTAAAAGTTATACATAATATATGCTTAGTATTATATAGTACTTATAAGTACGGATCTTTGAATTGGGAGATTAAGTCCTCTGTCCCCCCTCCCCTATTTGCGCCAATGATTTGTAGCTTCTAAGTTATAGTCGTTAATCCTATCCAATATATTAAATATTGTTAAGTATAATTGTTTTTAGATTTATAAATCTTTTACTAATAACTTGTCTGCTTGAAGCGGATATAGGTACATCAGACAATATAATATATTATATACATTCTTCAAACAGAATATTAGCATATTTTAATTTTTAATCATGCAGCCACGACTAATTATTTTGTTACCATAAAAAAATTATATTTATTAACATTTATGTAAATAATTTTTGATAATGTCCAACAATTTTAACACAGTTTACTGTGTTCAACATTTTTTTTTCACGAGCAGAAGGGTGTTTAACATTTTCAAATACCTACCTAGCTCAATCTGTCATTGGAAATCACAAATTACATTAATATTATTTTAATGTAGATAAGTATATTATATTTTCATTTTCATTTTGTTTTTAATTTTTATTTAAGAAGATTTACCTAATAGGATGTAATAATAATATTAAATTATAACAGATTATTTTCATTTTGTATTAACAATTTAGATGCAGTTGACGCCAAACATTCAAATAATTTTTTTGCTTTTTTAAAGAATCATCATAATTATTGTATAATATGTGTTTTTTTTTTTAATTTTTTGTGTCTGTCATTATCTACCTTTAAGGACAGAAAAAATGCATAGATTTTCTTCAACAGTATCTTTTCTGATAGGAAAGTGAATCTACTTGGTACTTGGGGGGTCAAAAGTAAAGTAAGTTTTCATAAGCGCCAGGAAAAACAAAATAAAAAGTAAGGAAAAACTGGAATTCTCTAATGTGACTTTGTAGCATATAATTGTATTAAGTGCATGGGTTTGAGCTGCGCATGAAACATTCTGGTGGTGACTGGTGAGGTTTGAAAAAATTGTATGATCTTTGTACCTAATACCTATTGTTATAACTATATTAAATGATGGGTAGGTACATCATTGGTATTATTGATATTTCGTGGGGAGGTTAACCCTTCGAGCTGAAACGGTCAAAGCGAATGGTCCGGCGGCGAAAAAGTCCTCAGCGAAATTTCCTAGACCATTATTGTTACCATTGATTAAATACAATCTCTGTTTTAATATTTAAACATTTTTAACTAACAAAATATTATATTTTTTGAAATTAATTTGTATTCACCATTTGAGGGCAAATAAGTAATCAAGTATATTATGGATGTTCTTATACTAAAAAAATATAGTAATAAAGAAGTGACCAAAAAATAAAATGTTGTTTCCATTAAAACTTTATACTGTAACTCAACGATTCTAATTAATGGTACAGGGCATACAAGCTTATTTGTTGTCTCAGTCTTACAAACGCTATCTAAATATGAAAAAGGTGGGCAAGTGGGTGTCGCTCTGCTGTACAGTAGGTTACAAGTGGGTCATTGTATAATGGATGGTATTAAATTTGAATTCAATGATATAATATCATTGTATAAGAAAAACGATTCTGAGCGGAGACGGTATGTCCTTCTAGGTATAAGACATATTATATACATATCTATGGTATTAAAAAAAATTGACCTATAATGAATTCCAAATTAATCATATCACAATATCCATTAGGTACTTATAACGCGTTATACACCAACAACAAACCCTGATACTATCATAGATATATATATATATAGTAGATTACTTTAGAAATTTCAAGTACCCACGAATAATATTATTCAATCACAACAAAATAACTAAAATCGTAATTCTTGGTTTAAATATGAAATTTTGTCTAAATTTGAAATTAAAATGTCTGTAAAAAATAAGTGTGTTTATATATTTTTTAGATTTTTTTTTAATTATTTAAGAGAATCTTTGTTTTAAA